GGGGGTAGCTACTACCTCCCCTTTCCCCTACAACCCATAATAGGGGAGAGTTCGGTATATTGTACCGCCGGGTAAATTGTACCACCCTCATATTTCGTAAAGTATTTATTGAATGTCTGTAATTGCAACACTCAGCGATAGACAACTAAAATCAATTAATATCGGCCATGTGGTTTTTGCCGTGACAACAAACACGTGTGTTTTATTTTGAAAAGTATTTTTTCATTGTTTTCAAGCAACTTTTGACAATACATGTTTAGATTGTAATTTTGTTAAATTTAATTACAGGGTGTTTCTAATATATTATTTAGAAGCGTAAATTAGTGTGGATTACAATTATTTGAAACATTTTTCGGTATTTATAAAAGCTATATTTTTTACCGATTTTTTAAAAGCACTATCACCTAGTCGGCTAAATTGTACCACATCAAGTTGTATGGAACTTTACCAAAGGATTTTGAAATTTTTTTTAGTAAATCATATTTTGAAGTTATAATAGCGTAGTTATGTTTGACTAACAATAAATGAAAGCAAAAGACTGGCAAAGTAGATTAGGTACAAGTGTGCGTTACGATAATTGGAATTACAAAACTTGTACTCAAAATCGTGATAACGTGTAAAACAATATCGATTGTCTATGTTATTAACTACTGTTCCTCTTCGTTTCCTAATTTGTTAAGAATGTATCGTATAATGTTTTGCCCTAGTTTTTTTAAAGGCTTGAAATTTATTGAAATCCAATTTAGTAACCCTGTGGTACAAATTATCGAACCGGTTGGCTAAATTGGACCGAAGCTCTGAACTCGTACTTTGTTGATTTGTGCTAAATATACAACAATCATGTTAATTAATACTTATGAAATAGTAAGTTGAATAATGTATCTTTTATTATATACCATGGACATTAGCAAAAACAAAAGAAAACTATGTGTAAAATGGGATTGAAAAAAACTGGTCCAAATTAGCTGACTCTCCCTTACAATAGTTTTACATCTTACTCATCTTTCACTTCTAAAATTATCCTCATATGACAATGTTCACTTTCGACGACGGTCATTTTGTGCGAAGAAGAACCGGTTAAGCCACTGGCCAGCTGGCCTAAGTGTGTACTTTTGATATAGGCGTTTCTTAAAATAAATACACATCTCGGCATGACATTTAACATGTCTCTACGTAGCCACTGCTTTAATTGGAGCCGACTGGTTCTGGAATAAGGGATAAACTGTTATTAACCCGCCGATTGCAGGCTGCAACAAGCTTGTTCGAACTTGTTTGAGATACCTTTAGAATTAGAGGGTTGAAGACTGGTAATCTGATAGATCAGATCCTTAACGCTTAAGCCATAAGAGTTTGATGTCTGTTGATTATCTGAAAGCTAGCTCGTTTTAGATGTCTGATTAAAGGTAAAGTATACATTAACATTTTCAATTGCAATTACATAATACATTCTTTTAGGAATAAATATTATCATAATTTCATCCAATCACCCACTGCTGGGTTAAGCTAGCCTTACCTCGAATAAAGTATTCACTAATTTTTATCATTATTAAGCAAAGCACTCATTAATATAATCAAGGCATAAAATGTTAATATTATTATGATAGCAGTATAACCAGCAGGTATCATTTTAACATGATAATGCGTATTTTTTATGGTTTCTTAATTATGTCTACGACATTTCACAGAACGAACTGATAAATTTGCTCAGTTAATTTCAAGGGCCCGTATTCTTCGAACGAAATAATTAAAAGCTGGAATGACGTCCAACCGGTCACCGAATAGTTATTAATATTACACGCAAAATACCCACCGCCATTTATATAAATTAACTCTTGACGCCTTTAATTACGAAGATTAATTAAGGTAAGGACCTTGTTCCGAGGGATAATGTATTTTGACACAAATAAAAAGATGTGGTTCGTTATGGTAAATTTTTGATGAAGCAATTTATGGGCACTTCCAGAAAGAATTTCCAGTAACGGTGCAGCTTTTGTTGTGTAAGTAAACATATAAATTAAGTACGTGTAAAGTACCTTCTTTATATGTGTTGCCTTCTTCACAATGTCTAAATAAGACCTAAAGTAACACTGGTGATTGTCTTGGAAGCCAAGAGGATTTAAAAAATAAATGAGACTGCGGCAACACAGGCCGCAACATAGAAGCTGATCAGAATTCAACGCGCACGCTCGTACCTAAATCAGTTAATGGGTATCAGACAAGACAACCCACTAAACTACAGAGTATAGATAAAGCAAAAGAAGTGCGCTGACGTCGAAACAAATGGACCCACATTTAATTGAGTGTCATTTCCAAACTAATAGGCCAAAGATCAATCGGCTTTCTTTGAAAGCTTAATTATGTTTATTCGAAACCATTAATTCGTGGACCAGTTAGGTTAATCGTTCTGCTCCGGGCTGGGCTGGTTCGAACCGTTCGAAAGTTTTTCATAGATACGAGAGTTAGGCTGCATTCAAATGGACGCTTAAACCTACTCGTAGAAATGCTGCAGTGCTGCAGTGGCGCGACTTCTGCGCGTCAATGATTATCTAGTGATAACTCGCCTTAAACTTTTGGATTTTATTTATCGGTTAAATTCCTTGTATAGAGTCCGGGGTATTGAGGTACATTTTTCATGCTCAAGTCAGCTTTGCATAATTACACTTTGAGACAATCGAATAAAAACGAGAGAAATATCAATATTCGTTGAGAAGTGGCAAATAAAAAGTTTATTTTATCAGCCTTCTAATTAACAGTACGAAATATAATTTAGAGTGAAAAATCTAATTAAGTAGGTAATAAAAGTACTGCTTCACGCAAAGTAGCGCTTCTAATATTTTATGTCTTAAAATTAATGAGAGTTGGCAATGGCGTGACAGTCGCACCATATAGAGTCCCTGTCTGCAATGTAATGCTGCTTCACACACGTCTCTATCATCTTAAAAGCACCTTTAGATTTCACAAGTCCGCTACCAACCGCATAGAATAATGTCGTCTCTTAAACGCTCGTAAAGTTTCAATATTTAAACCCTCCTTCTTATCGAGAAAAGATAAAAACGACACGCGTGTGGTACATAATTAAGTAACTACATAGAGACAGGGCCAGCTGAATATTCAAAACCCTCCAAATATCCGTATAAAAGGCTTAATCAGTTTAAATTTCACGATACCACAACCGAGTTCATGCGGCAGAACAAATTATGGCGGGACCCTATTACGTGTAGTGACTCTGCAGTATTAATCGATCAGAGAGAAAAGAAAGACCAGAACCAGGTGCTTCCGAATGGAAACTGTCCGGACCCTCCTCCGCGGAACGAATGGAGCATGTCAATCACTTTAATTAATCATTCAAAGTATCTCAAAGAATTTTTTCCAGCTATAAAAATCGGCTCAAAGTTCTCACGATGACCCGCGGTCACACCTCGTTGTGGTTGACGCAATTTAAACGCATTCACAACACGTCAGCCATGCTGATCTTTGGCCTGATCTATTGAATTTGAGCGTGGCATAGGTTAATTTCCAATATCCAGTTGCTGCCATAACTCTTTAAGAGAGTATATTGCTAGTGTCACGATTAGAAGCTTTAGAGCCAAGTGACATAATAGAATTTAGAGTTAGTTTAGAGAAATAAAAGATAGTTTAGGTTAACAAGTAATTTATTTAGATTTAAAGTAGTGAGAACTCTTAGGGAGTGGGTTGTCGAGCAAACTATCGTATCGCACGAGATTCGTCACCGGTGGTAGTGTATTTAATTGTGTAGCAGTCATTGCGGATAGATAGTACCATTTCAAACACGATCACGATTATAAGACACGATTTCGCTTTACCAAAAATATTTATTTACCATACGCTTAGCATTCCCGAAGGTTGCAGTAAATTTCTGCAACTAGTCCGCAATCTTTCAAGGCTTGCGTTAGAGACCTTTCGCGCGCCGTATCGGGCTTGTCCGATTAAGGCGAAAAATGCATCTAAATCGTGCTCTCGACTTTACACCCTTTACGGTGCAAGCTGGAAGTCGTGCCCGATACACTAATTCGTTGCAGGTGTTAACGTCTTACCTACTTTAATGCCCCATTCACATGTCCCTTACTCTAGCGTAAAACCTCGCTTGTAAGGTAGTGTGAATTTATGCGATTGAATGCGCATTCTATATTTTCAAAGCTGTCAAATGAATGAAAAGAAGTACAGCATGTAAGTGGCGGTTGCTCTTCGATATTGGGCTTAGAGACAAGGTGGTGGAACTGAAAATGGATCGCGTGGGACAGAGGACAGTCACCCTGCATTCCTTGAATGCGGTATAAGCGGTTGCCTTGTAAGTGACGCCCAGACAGGCAGTGACGATTCGCGACACCCACTGCACGGATGGTAGCATTCACCATAATGTATTTCGAATTAGCAACAGTTATTCAAGAACACGCAATTGCAGGTTGCATGTTGATATTTAATTTTAGATTACAGTTCTGTAACAGCTTTCTGTTGAATTGATTTTTTGGACATCGTGTTGCTCGGCATCATTAAGTTTCACCTACGAGTTGTTACGAATCTTTCACGAACAGTAATTATAAGTATCCGGTTCAGTATTTTAAATATATTTTTGTGTATTTTTTGGTAAAGTTAAGCTCACTTATTAGTGTAATCTATCCTAAAGATGCTCTACTTATTTGACAGTGATTAAAGACTGAGTTATTCTTATCCTATTTTTTCAATAATTTATATCTATCACTGGAAAAAATCTATGACTGTCATTTTTGTAATACCAGACTTTAATCTTGCTTGAGGTTGAACAGAGCTTAAAAAAGTCGTTTCAAAATATTTCATGAGCTTGAGTGTAATAAAGGATACATTCGAACAAAAACCTTTGGCCGAGCAATAAAACAAGGTGTGGGTGGAGGCCGATTCGTTACGGTTTTAGAAAATAATAGTCAACCAATTAAAAGTTATAATTGTTTATTTCATAAACAACTTAATTTACTAACAATGTCATAACATTTCTGACTGAGACTTTAAATTACAACGTTTTATTAGCACAACGTCCGTTTAAACTTATGTTATTCTAATATCACAGATTTATCAAATAATAACAATAAAATATATTTACGTTAAACACTATGTTAATCTACTTTATAATTTTCTTTTGGCGAGCTCGATGTAAGCTTTAAAATTTTTACCTTATAATTTTTCTTTTCTCTTTTATCTTTAACTGAATAATTAGGTCTATTTACATCTTCTAAATATTTCAGTATACAATTCAAACTTTCGTGTTGTTCGCCTTCTATAAATAAATTAATATCACAATCTAAAAGCAAATGGCTTTCTTCCATAGTTCTGCAAATGGATCTTTGATTGCGCGATGAAATTACATCGACCGCGCAATGAAAACTTCAAAATAATTGTTTTACAAAAAAACAAAGTTATTTTTGATGAACGGGGTTATTTTTAACGTAAAGTAATAAAAAATAAGAGTTTATACAATGACATCCATTAAAAAAAGGAAACAAAAAATAACTCGTGTCCTATTACCTATATTTGAATGAATAAAAAAAAGGAAGACAAATATAAAAAAATAACCCCGTAGTGTACTTTCTAAATAGTAAAATAACAATAAAATGGACTATACATTTTAAAACAACGGTTTACAAAACGGATTACTTAATTAGTTCTTCGGGATCCAGCCGCTATCTTGGACAGAACTTAAATTGTGGGAACAGGAAACAATGCAGCGATAGGAATCTGTAACAATGAAATTGTTCCTAGAAAAACACTTCCGAGCTGGGAATTTGTCTCTTGAAACGGCGGGTTTATTGCACAAGATAAATTGGGACTCTGAAGCTGTTAATTTGAGTAGTTTCCATTGTAGATAGTGGATACAGTTAATTAAATCAAAAAAAAATCCAACGCAAAAAAGCTGAAGTGTAAAAATGGCGCTGTATTGTATTTCGCGTCGCGGTCATGTCATGGGGTCAACAGAAAATGCATGTTAAATTAATACTGAAAAAACCGCATCAAAATGGGTTTACCCGTTTAACAGCTTAGAGCTGATTAGAAATTGAAACGGCTGAAAAGATTTTGATGAAATTTGTCTAAAAAATAACCGCATCCAAATCGGGTCATCTGTTTAAGAACTACAGTGTCACTAACATACACACAAATACCGGTCACAAATATTACAACAACCCTCTTTTTGTGTCTGGGCTTAACGCCCGTATTCACAAACGATGCTTGCTTACGTGAAGCAGCAAATCAAACGCACAGCGTTGAATAGAGCTCTGCGATTGGTGGCACACGAACCACTGTCTGAGTTTCTTGCGCTGCTTCTTCTCAGCACTGGCCCATTTATTGTCCTGAAGCAGTGGTAGGGTTAATACTGGGACGTGTAAAAGTGCTTTTTTAAAGCCTACTTACAGAAATAAATGAGTTTTACTGAGTTTTTACTGTGAGACCTCATAGTAATGTTTGTGAATACGGGCGTAAAAATAGAGTTTATTATTAACACTCACCGACTAGGATCGTACCGGGTGTCGAACCCAGGAACGTTGAGGACATTCCACTCGTCCTTCAGCTTGGCGTAGCTGAACGAGATCTGGTCTTTGAAGCTCTCTGCTGGCAGCAGCTTCATCTGCTCCAAGTGGGAGTGGAACTCGGGCACTTGCGTTAGCTTTTTGGCCATCAAATGTTCTGGAACAACCATTAAGCCATTAATGACACGTGAAAATCTAATTTATTGTACAGACAAACACTTCTCCTCAAAATGAAATTAGAACCTGTGAAACACCTAGTCCTTGAAGATTCATAAGAAAATAGTACAATTACCTACATGGTTTCATTTACATTTTTTTGTTACTTTTTGTAAAATTATGATTTGATCAGGACAGACTAGAATAATTGGAAAAGTGATGAATATTACTAGAAATTGCTTCGCTCTCACTTTTTGTACGTACAGTCAGCGTCAAATACTTCGTGACACCCAAAGTAGCCAAAAAGTTCGAAACTCGAACTATATGACACTGACTGTACCTACCTACTTAACTACTTTGTATAACAAATGCTATTATGAAGGCAGAACTTTTATCATGTATTGATCAACCCCTTCTTATACCAATACCTACACGTTACAAAACACTCATTAACCGCAAACTCCAAAGCATCAACTTTTAACTCACCGATAATGAATCCCACGGTGACGTCATCAGGCAGCCGTATAGTCTCGCATGTACTGATGAATCTGCCGCCGCTGCAACGGAAAACTTAGTTAGAAGTTGCTCGCGTGAACGATTATAAAGTTTGGTAACAGGTAATTCGCCAACTCGGCACGAGCCTGTGGTAAAATCAAAACAAATATTCTGTTGCTCTGGTAGAGCCTTAAAGATAAGGAGACGTCATGTATTGTACAGAACGCTTAAGAGCTATCTTTTTTGATAAATCTTTAACCAAGTGTAAGTTTTATTTAGTTAGCAAGCTGATGGATGAGTTTAGGACAGCATTTTTACTTTTCTCCTTTTGGTATTAATAAAGTGAGACGAGTTGTGAAAATTATTTTTTAATTTGACTGGGGCAACTCGTACCAAATTAGTCACAGGTTCGTGTGTCGAGTTGGTGAAAACCGAGCAACAGTTTAAGGCCTACCTCGCAACAGGCACCATTTTCAGCGCCAAACTTCTGCTTATACAAAAGCCAGCGCCGCCCGTCGCAAACCAGAACGAGAATGTCATCTGAAACAAATTAATGTTGTCACTAACAAGCTGGAAACGTGTCTGCTAACTGGTTACAATTTAGTTTACAGTTGCCTTAATTGAATTGACAATTTCACAATGAAATAAAGCGGACAAAAGCGTTTATTAAAAAGGCATGGCGAATGTTTCTTTACTTCGAAGTAAAGCAGCGACGAAAGTAAACTATAGGTAGGTACGCATTAAACTTTTCTAAACATAATGTCAGTCCTGGTTTTTTACTTCACTATTACAAAATATCTTTAAATCGTATCGCAACACACATTGTACTCTTTTAACCCTTTACACACGAGAATAAAAAAGTGTCAATATTTTAATAAAACTTTACTTAGGGGTTATTTTAGAGTTTAAATAAGATTAGAAAAATACTTTAAAAATTTTTGAATTTTCAGTTTTCCTGAAAGTATGCCCTCACGATAGTGAGGCTTCGGTATAATTTGTTAGTCTCACGATAGTGAGTGTTATACTATTTAGTTAATTTATTTAATGAAAACTACTAATTTATGAGCACATAAGGTAAGAGATCATTCATATGGTAAGAGACCCCTATAAGTAAAGAGTAAGCTATAATTTAACAAGCAATTAACCCTCTTTTAGCAAATTGTCTTACAAAAAACGAATTAATTAAAAAATTTCCACCTTTTGACAAACTTGCAAAGTAAAAACCTTTATTAGTTTGGTTGGTACTAATATGAGGTCCGAGATGATTATTAAGAGATTGTAAAATAGAACAAAATTACTTTATAATTAATAATAAAGAAATAAATGTAATTTTTATGGCTTAAGATGATATGACTGGAAACAGCTTTTTTGCGAGAAAGGCACAGGTAAACATCTCACTTAGCACATTTAATTTTTGACCAGCTAGAACATCCTTCCAACATGTAACACCTCGGTGCTTTTTAGCCAGGTAAACGTTCTCATCTGTGTTATCATTTGCCTTCTGACCTTAAAAGTCTATATTATATTGCTTATGGATGTCGAGTCGTTTAGTAAATTTTCGACACGATGCTCTTTATTAGGATATCTGTTTAAAGCCTCAGTTATGCTGGAACGAAAATCTAGTAATGCTAAAATGTATTTTTTTTAATTACCATTAGCTGTGCAATCAATTTTCTAAAGCCGCCGCGAATTAACAACTGCCATGTCCAAAATTTAAACTAGAACTTTCAAACCCTATTATCTTGTAATAAAGATTTGGTGGCATTCCACTTGTTAGTCCAGAATATCTACACCACTCATATCGTTCAACGATTGAATAATAAGATGGACTTCTTTGCAGGTATATTGATCCTTTATTTATCATGGGTTGCACCTTCCAAAGCGGTTGTGTTGTTCTGTTTCTGCTAGTTGGTCATGGTAAAATACATTAAGGAAATGTCGTGTGTGTACAAATCGGTTATGAACTATTTTGTTAGCAATAAGCCCCTATTTTTTATACTAGTGTGTCAGTACATATACAAACATGGGTCCGGAAGGCATCTCATGAAAATATGTGCACCGAACACTATAGCAATTTCGGTTCTAATAGTTTTTAATTCTTTATCGATTTAACGCATGTAGTGCACGTTTGTACACCTAGCCATCTCTTTGTAAAATGTGTCATCAAAATAATCAATTGAGATACTCAGTTGGAGTACGAATTCAATTTGTTTGAATTTTCTTCCAAATTGACCCTGTATTTTGTTGCGGACGTGGCTTTTGTTTCAGCTTTTGCTTGCCACATAGTATTTTTAAAATGTCTGACCAGCCTTGCTGATTCATGTTCAGGGTCTACTTCGTCTCCTGAGCTTTCATATTTGGTATTCTACTCTTCAAAGTCCGTAAAAACCCGAAATTTTGTTTCCTGGTCTTTTTAGTCATGAAAATCTTTAATTTCATAGTCGGTTGCGTTTCCAAATAATGCTACGACACATCCTTCATATTTAGGATGCACTAAAATAGAAAAACAACTAAACACTAAGCCATAATATCAAATAACAAATAAAATAGTTTTCAATCAACTACTGGAGGTTTGACCGACCAGCTACGATCGTGCGACTTAATTTTGTGGTAGTAATAATTATTAATTTATGCAATGAAATAACAATAAAAGTATTCCATTCGGATAATCACTGTTTTCGTAATAAAATAAAACTATAACACTTATCTGAAAACAACAATAACCTCATAAAATCAATATTAACACTGGCCGCCTCTCGTTCCAAAAAATGCAGTCAACTTTAAGTCCAAGTAAACGAGCACTGACAGGTCCCAACACTAAATGAGCGGCACTGTGTGCGAGTAAATATCTCTCACGAGCGATCGCTGCCGATTGCGGCCGCAAAAACAAGTTTACATGGGCATGAGATTTTTTCAAAGTTACTCTCACGTACGTGTATCGTCGTGTGTAAAGGGTTAAAGATACGTACGTAACGTAGGTAGTAATATCAAAATACGTAGGTACTGATGGCGGCTCATAAAGACAAAAACTGAATTTTTAGTATTAATTTGCAAGAATAACATATAGTCTGAGATGTGCTGTGTGCTTAGTGCAAGTTTGCATTGAACGTCGTCGTTAGCGAGTGCGTCAAAAAACTAAAGATTTTAGTTCTTGAAAGTATCCTAGGGACGCTGTACAATCCGTCACACATTTTTTTACACAGTCGCTAGCGAAGACGTTTGATGTAAAGTAGCACTAAGCCCCCTGATTGCAACTTTAGCTACCTTATTATGAGGCTTGCTGTATATCTTCACGGGCTCATACACTGAAGTCCTCCCCAGGTACCAGTCTTCCAAGTAATTGTAGTTTTGGAGCACAGTCACCAACCGGGGCACGTTGACGTAGTTGTCATCGTCGAAATGGCAAAACCACCTGTTTGGGGCAAAACATAATCATTATAGAGATGTTTAATATAGATGAAACGTGTAGTGTACCTGTTCGGGGCAAAACATGTTCATTATAGAGATGTTCATCATAGATGAAGTGTGTAAAGATGTGCTCATGGTGGAGAACTTTGGTCTAAAAGCGATTGTGGGATTTTAACATGACAAGTTTAGACATTGTTACCTACATTATCGACATGCATTCAGCATATTGATAAAAGATCCAATTGATTCTAACTGAAATAGGTAATCTTGATTTTAGAATGAAAGATGTCAAAGGCGATTCTTAAAGTTAACTTCAATTGGTTGTAATTGTAACCTTAGTTGTTATAAAGGTTTACAATAATAATGACTTTTTTGAGGACGTATAAATATCATACATAAAGTGCTATTATAGCCTTGATCACCAACCCAGACATGGCCTTATACAGAAGTTTATTATAGGTCTTGTGGAGCAAAAAGTGAAATTACCGATCGGAAAATTAACGCTCGCATCGACGCAACCGGCCATCAATTCGAACTGTCTCCGTAAAAACCAGAAAGTTATCAGCTGCCGCCCTGCAAGTTGCTAAAGAAAATAATTGCAACTTTGTACATGTAGGGTCATATCACGAGTTTGCGTCCACCTAGCTGTTTGAGTCCAAACGACGGATCAGTGTTTATAAGTAATTAAAAAATGTCATGCATCTCGGCATTTGACACTTTCGATTTTGTTTTGGTTTTTAAAAACAGAGCGTTTGGATGCGAATTTAATTTATTGAAATTTTAGTATAAAAACCAATGTCTAAATAAGCAACAAAATAAAAATAAAACAAAAGACAAAACTAAACATTATCCGAAAGCATGTAACATAAAATGGAATACTACCATTGCGAAGCATTAGGATGAAAACTTATAGCGAATAGGGACGTGAACAGGCAACACGACCGTATAAAGTCGTTCGAGTTTTGCTGGTGGCAGTAATTATCGTCGTAGTATAATTTAGTGGCATTACGCCCGTCGCAAATAACAGGAGCTGCGCCGGCGCAAGCCGTGACCACATATTGCGGTGTGGCGCACGACAAATGGCGCTCGTATCGAGTCGGGTTTCAGTTCTCGATTTGCGAAATCGTATCGATTTACAAACGCCGCGGTCGGGTTTAATCGCAACTGTTTACGTTTATTGCGCACGGCGGTGTTACGAGCTGAAATGAAAATAAGCGGTTCATGCAACTCTGTTGCCGAATCGCTTATGTTTGATGTGGTGCCAGTAAGTACATAAGTATAGATATTAAGCTGTACATGGCTTAATATTTTATGGCAATAAAATCTTTTTTCAGTGTATTTTAATACCATGTTTGTTAAGGGAGATATTCGATTAATTCAAACAAAAAAAAAACAAGCGTAAAAGTCTTAGAAAATAGCTAGATTTCTTAGGAGCCATTTAATTAATAAATAGGTTTAGTCAGTAATTTAACTCTATTTTCACCTGATGAATCGGCAATTTTAATTAGGAAGACTGTTCAGAGAAAACCTCTTTCATTCATAAAACTGTTAAGGGTGATAGCCATTCCTATTATGTTGTTATTAAACCTATTATTTACATCTGAATGTTTTTAAAACAGCACAAATCACAGAAATGGTCGCGCACCAGAAAGGCTCCGATATCGAACAACAACAAACTCAGGCCATAAAAACGGGGGTGTTAGGAGAGCAGTTAACGTCATAGCGCAGGTTGTAAATACCTCTGGATTAACGGCAGGTACAGAAAACGGTACATCCACCTTAACACTGTAGCATCTTGTCTTGTTGTAATAGAGGCGATTTTGCTATAAATACCTATGTATAACTTGATGTGCTGACGTTTGTATGTTAGAGACTACGGAGGATAGGATAGATAAGGTATCACAAGACTACTGACGTAATTGTACGATTTTTAGTAGAGTCGCTTCTAGGATAAAAACGATTTTTCAGTTGTCGGTGAAAAAGAGCCGAATCTTGCATAAAACAGCGCGAAAAAGTGCAAAATGTTATGGACTTTTTAAAATTCACAAAAAATTAAAAGCCTAAATTCAAAATTAAAATTCAATTAAAAGCCTTAATAAACGTCACAGCATTTTATTGTAATAAAAATGTAGAGTTAGACGAGTAATGTGTCGGTAGATCAAGGGACATTCTTCGCTTCCGATCAATTCGCTATATTACCAAATTACATACAAAACAGAATATCGAATCTAAAGCAAGAATGTTTCATTGCTAAGTGTCGAAAGCGAGCGACTAGTCGAGCATCAAATTACTAGTCAGAATGCCTTTGTAGCCAATAGCACTCAACACTTATATTTGATGCCAATAGAGACTGACAATTTGTGTTACCAATAAAGTCGAAAAACATTAATATTAACCTGTTATATGCATCTATCGCCGTAATATTGTGAATTCCGTCAGATTATAATCTGACGTAGTTAGACTACATTCAAACCTAACGAACTGTTAGTATACAATCTCACGCTTTATATTATTATAAACTGACCGAGTTCACAATTTCACGTTGACAGGTGTAATTTTACGATATTAAGGCTGAGTTGCACCACCTTTGACCGTAACTACAAAGATAACCGATGTTTTTTGTATGGAGTTTGACAGATTTTTGACGTTTGTCAAAGTTAAAGTACAACCCAGCCTAAGACTTTACCTATCTTTGATTGTAAAGTGAAGTAATGTTATGGATACTAAGGCTGGGTTGCACCATCTTACTTTAACTTTGACAAACGTCAAAAATCTGGCAAACTCCATACAGAAAGCACCGGTTATCTTTATAGTTACCGTTAAAGTTAGGTGGTGCAAATCATTCTAAGACAGTTAAGTTTTTTTGAGATGATTTTTATCCTATTACATTTACAAAATTGTCGGTTTCCATTGGTGCAGGCTATATAGAGGTCTTTATTCCTTTGCCAAGAGCCACATAATCCTATTACCTACAGGCGGCAGTTCACCTGGGGCCAATAGAGTGGATTGCTCTAACCTTCGCCCTCAAAGTCAGCGACATTCACGTGATATTCTTTGTATGGACGAACAGATGAGTATTAGGTATGGATGGATATTGTTGTCCTTCTGAATAGCACAGATGTTTCATGGATTGGAGTCATATTAAAATGAATTACATTTAGCATATTGATAGGGAATTACCTATTTGAAGCATTCTATAATTATTGACAGTCAAGTAAGTACGTAGTAATTAATTAGCTCAATACGTTTTCATAATTAATTCTCGGAAATATGTTATTTGTATTGTTTCTAAATTAAATAAGGCTTGAAATTAAATAAAGTCAAGAAGTTATCTTGACTGATTATTGAGAGTATGAATGTAGTAAGTAGTACTTACCTATCGTAGTAGTAGTATATTTTTGGTGAATATATTTCACAACAAAAATTTAAGGAGGCTTATGTTCAGCAGTCACGTCATATAGCTGAAATGATGATATCGAAAAAGACAAGCAGTTCGTCAAGAATTTATTCGACATCCAATTTAAAGACTTTAAAGTGAGAATTAATTAAATGCACTCTCTTTGAGTGACGGCTCTTGATTAATCGAATTTCAAAATAATGGATTCGAAGATATTTTTAATTTATTTAATCCCGGAAGAAACAGAGACGAGCAAGAAACAACTTGAGTACTAGTCAGTGGTTTTCAAATTTTAGTTTTGAGATCTAGAGTGGGTTTTATAGAGAACTAGCGGCCGCCCGCGACTTCGTACGCGTGGATCCCGTTTTACCCCCTTAGGGGTGGAGTTTCGTAAAATCCTTTCTTAGCGGATGCCTACGTCATAACATCTACCTGCATGCCAAATTTCAGCCCGATCCGTCCAGTGGTTTGGGCTGTGCGTTGATAGATTACTATGTCAGTCAGTCAGTCACCTCTGAGTTATTTATATTTAGATAAACAATACATATGGGTACTTATGCATCAAATATAACTGAGAAAAGAGTTAACAGACAAGGATGCAACTAACTTTTAGCTTTTTTGAATTTCTTATGTATTGGTTAACATAGATTTTGCTGATGTCTTTAGTGTTCTATTTGTATTGTAAGGCACATAATTATTATGAATATACTAATTTAATAAGGATACAAAAAGAAGAAGACGAGTAGACAAAACGGATTAATGGCAAACATTAGGTACATATTCGGAATTTCGGATTACTAAAAATCGATCGATAACCAGGTAGGATCATTCGATATCAGGTACTAATGATAATGTAACTTTATTTTATAAATTTCATAGTTAGTCAAAGTGGGGCTGTTTTGTGGTTTGAGAACCTTCGTAGTTAAATCTTTAACCTATCTCCGGTTGTGTACGAATTAAAGCGTGGGCAGAAGAAATTAACGGGTCGAGGCTCAGAGACACGTTGAATGTAGGTATCATCTTATGTTGAAATTATAGACTTAGGTACTTTGTAGATGCTACAAGTACCTATGCCTATGATTGGGAACAGAAATGCTTTTATGCAATTTTCTTACGATAAGTAAACATTTGCTAAATAATCGATAGTACTATATCCGATTTTCATTTTTGTAGCTATGTCGTACTCACATAAGATTTCGCATTGGATGTTTCTAATGCAGACAATCAAAATTATGAACTAAGCAAACAAAAGACTACCGAGAAATACAAAACACATTTAACTCCAACATTTTATTAACTAGAATAAAACATTTTTTCATGTTTTATTTTTGTAAGCCACATTAATCCATCGAGGCTTAATATCACCAATCAAATAACTATACTCAGCGTTTACTCTACCTAGAGTCAAAATACAATTTCTGTGGGAAAAAGCGGGTCCTATAAAAACATTCGTGTTGGCCTATGTCAACGCGTGAAAATCATTGTTGGGCCAACATAATATTGGAGTTGCTCTTCAAAAACCATTAACGTTGTACCGCCTCAATACCGGTGACTTCAAATTAAAAAGACTGTTTGACAAACCTTGGTTGAGTTGGGCGCTGGGTAAA